CAAATTCCTCACAAATTGGTGGCCATCATCACAGAGTTACACTTAAAAGTGTGTCTGTTACAACTTACAGGCACATTCAACTTAAGAACAACCCTACAGAACCTATCACGTAATCTGTGGACTGCCTGTATAGACATTTGAAGCTTTGCTTGTTCTCGTCTATTACTTTGTTCTCAGATTTTCTGTGGATCCCATTCTCTTTCTTAGTTTTTCCTCTAGAATTCACATCCTTTTCTACAGTGCTTGCTTTCGAGCTGATGTTTTAGCTACCATCTCCAACCTCTCAAGGATTTAGTTAAAAGCCTTCTTGGTGAGATCTAGTATGCTACTACCCAATGCATTCTTTCCAGTCTTTTGTTAGGTGCAGCCTATGTATAGCCTGTAGTCCTCTGACTAAGAAGTGAAGACTGTGTTCCCATATGCTAAACCTCTAACAGCATATACATAGCCCAGCGTTTCTCAACTTGGGGGTTGGGACCACTGGGGAGGGGTCACGAAGGGGTGTCAGAGGGGTCGCCAAAGACCATTAGAAAACATAGTTTTTTTCTGTTGGTGATGGGGGTTCTGTGCGGGAAGTTTGGCCCAATTCTATCACTGGTGGGGTTCAGAATGCTCTTTGATTGTAGGCAAACTATAAATCTCAGCAACTACAACTCCCAAATGTTAAGCTCTATTCCCCCCCCCCCCCCAACTCCACCAGTGTTCATATAGGGACATATTTAATATTCATGCCAAATTTGGTCCAGATCCATCATTGTTTGAGTCCACAGTGCTCTCTGAATGTAGGTGAACTACAACTCCAAAACACAAGGTGAATGTCCACCAAACTCTTCCAGTATTTTCTACTGGTCATGGGAGTTCTGTATGCCAAGCTTGGTTCAATTCCATCATCGGTGTGATTCAGAATGTTCTTTGCTTGTAGGTGAACTATAAATCCCAGCAACTACAACTCCCAAATGATAAAACGAATCCCCCCTCCAACCCCACCTGTATTCAAATTTGGGCATATCGGTATTTGTGCCAAATTTGGTCCAGTTAATGAAAATACATTCTGCATATCTACAACTAGCCATCCCCTGCCACACATTGCTGTGGCCCAATCTTTGTACATGTGTTTATGTTTGTATATATTTGTCTATATGTGTATATATGGGTGTTTGTGTATATATGTGGTTTTGTGCATGCGTTGTAATGTATTTTTGTCTTTTAAAGTCTCTTCTGCTGTGTTTTTCAGTGTTTTATGAGTGATGGTCACTCGTTGGCCCGATATGTGTTTTTTTTGTCCAAATTTGGTGTCACTTCGTCCAGTGGTTTTTGAGTTCTGTTAATCCCACAAACGAACATTACATTTTTATTTATATAGATAACAAGAACACATTTATGAAGTAGCAACTAAAACAATTATGGTTGGGGGTCATCTCAGCATGAGGAACTGTATTTAGGGGTCGCGGAATCAGGAAGGTATAATTTTCTATCGGAAGATTTGGGAAGAATACTACTTGCACCTCAGACTCCTTCAGCTTTCTGCCTGAAGCTCATGGCAATTAGCAATGTCAAATCCCCCTTGAGTCATGGACTTTGGAAAGGGTAAAATATAAATAAATATAAGAATAAGTTATTGTCCATGCTTTGATTTAATAATAAGCTCTTCGAATCATAAAATCATAGAATCCTAGAGTTGGAAGACACCTCGTGGGCCTTCTAACCCTCTGCCAAGAAGCAGGAAAATTTCATTCAAAGCACCCCCGACAGATGACCATCCAGCCTCTGATTAAAAGCCTCTTGTCCATCTATATAAATAAAAATGTCCGTTTGTGGGATTAATATAACTAAAAAACCACTTGACGAATTGCTGCCAAATTTGGCCACAAGACACGTACTAACCCAAGGAGTGAACATCACACAAAAATTTGATTTTTTTTCATTTGGGAGTTGTAGTTGCTGGGATTTATAATTAACCTACAATCAGAGAGCATTCTAAACTCCATCAATGATGGAATTGAACCCAATGTGGCACACAGAACTCCCATAACCAACATAAAACACTCCAAGGGTTTGGAGGGCATTGACCTTGAGTTTGGGAATTGTAGTTCACCTACATCCAGAGAGCACTGTGGATTCAAACAATGATGGATCTGGACCAAACTTGGCACAAATATTCCATATGCCCAAATATGAACACAGATGGTGTTTGGGGGAAATAGACCTTGACATTTGGGAGTTGCAGTTACTGGGATTTATTGTTCAGCTACAATCAAAGAGCATTATGAACCCCACCAACTAAAGAATTGGGGCAAACTTCCCAACAAGTGACCATCACTCATAAAAACACTGAAAAACATAGCAGAAGAGACTTCAAAAGCCAAAAAAACAAAAATAAATTTCAATGAATGTTCAAAGCCACGTAATATATACACCAACCAGGGGAGGCTCAACCCATTACGCAAAGTAAGCATTTGCAGTATAGTTGATTTTGCCCAGGGGCGCTCTTGAGGCGCTCTTGGGGGAAAGTAGACCTTGACATATGCGAGTTGTAGTTACTGGGATTTATAGTTCACCTACAATCAAAGAGCATTCTGAACCCCACCAATGATGGAATTGAACCAAATATGGCACACAGAACTCCCACGACGAACAGAATATATATATGTGTTTGGTTGGGGGGGGGGGGGGCAAAATACTGTTTGCTTACCGTTGAAAATTACTTAGGGCTGCCTCCGACACCAACACACATATATACAAATATATACACATATATTCACACACAAAACACATTCAAAATCAACTATACTTCAAATGCTTACTTTGCGTAATGGGTTGAGCCGCCCCTGGTTGGTGTATTGGGCCACAGCAACACATGGCAGGGGACGGCTAGTACCTGAATAATTTACAAGTATAGTTTAAGTTTTCTGAAATGAGGACCTTAGTTACACAAGCAGGAAGGGATCCTGGCATTTGTTTTATGGTCAGTCTAACTATTCCTGCTTTGCATTCTTCTAGGGCTGTTATTCCTCTTTGTAATATCCTCCAGCCATCAAAGGAAACTGAATGTATGCAGGGATGATTCAAGTCCCTACTCATTCCTAGAAAGTCTATTCAGAAATGAAAAATGTGTTTGTACAGAGAAGGGAAAAGGACGACACATCTTGTGAAACTCCAGCCTCGAGTGAAGCCACAGCAATAAAAGAATGATTGCGTTCAATGGAATGCGGCGTTTGCAGTCCAAAGCGGTGCAGCCATCTACTGGTGAGAGAGCTATTTTTACATCCGCTTCATCCAACAGGTCAAGGTGAAATTATTTGGATGAGGGATAAGCGCCTTGGAGATTCCTCAAGGTTTCTTTGGTAGCACCAGCTTGTCCAGTCCTGTCTGTTGAATTAGCTGCATTCCCACAGGGCCTCAACTCTGGCAATGCGATTGGAATCCTCTCCAGGATGTGACAGGGCAACATGGCCAAAGTCCTCTATGATTCATGTCAGAGAATAAAGTAAAAGCAAAGTTCTTCCTTTATGTTAAGAAGAAGCAAGATATCCATGGGGGTTTCAATGGGGGTTTCAATGTACAACATAAGCAATTTATTTTGAACTAGCTGTACCCGCCATGCATTGCTATGGTCAATCTTTCTCTCCTTCTTTCTCTTCTTCCTTCTCTTTTTTTCTTTCCTTCTCTCCTTTCTTCCTTCTCTACCCCTTTCCTTCCTTCCCCTCCCTTTTTTTCCTCTGCTTTCTTCTCTATCTATTAGAATCATAGAATCATAGAATCAAAGAGTTAGAAGAGACCTCATGGGCCATCCAGTCCAACCCCCTGCCAAGAAGCAGGAATATTGCATTCAAATCACCCCTGACAGATGGCCATCCAGCCTCTGTTTAAAAGCTTCCAAAGAAGGAGCCTCCACCACACCCTGGGGCAGAGAGTTCCACTGCTGAATGGCTCTCACAGTCAGGAAGTTCTTCCTCATGTTCAGATGGAATCTCCTCTCTTGTAGTTTGAAGCCATTGTTCCGCGTCCTCGTCTCCAGGGAAGCAGAAAACAAGCTTGCTCCCTCCTCCCTGTGGCTTCCTCTCACATATTTATACATGGCTATCATATCTCCTCTCAGCCTTCTCTTCTTCAGGCTAAACATGCCCAACTCCTTAAGCCGCTCCTCATAGGGCTTGTTCTCCAGACCCTTGATCATTTTAGTCGCTCTCCTCTGGACACATTCCAGCTTGTCAATATCTCTCTTGAATTGTGGTGCCCAGAATTGGACACAATATTCCAGGTGTGGTCTAACCAAAGCAGAATAGAGAGGTAGTATTACTTCCCTAAATCTAGACACTATGCTCCTATTATTGGACTGCAACTCCCAGCAGTCCTCCTGATTGATCTACCTACCTACTATCTATCTCTATCTAATCTATATATCTTATCTATCTGGAGGATTGCTACGAGTTGCAGTCTGGGAATAGGAAATTGGAAATATGAAGGAATTGAGATGCTCTCAAAGAAGTCCAAGGAGAAGCAAGCTTGCAGCTTGGAAGAAGTGATTTGGAGCATTTTCCTCCCCTAAAGGGCCTGGTCTAGGGGATACTGGGAGCTGTCATTTTCACACATACGTTGTATCAACATTTAGCTTTTTTTGGTTTTTATGTCCTTTGCACTGCTTCTTGGGAGGGGTTTGTGAGTGATGGTCATTCGTTGGTCTGTTAGGAGTGTAGTGTCCAATTTTCGTGTCAATTCATCCAGTGGTTTTTGAGTTATGTTAATCCCACAAACGAACGTTACATTTTTATTTATATAGAAGGATCCTATGAAGTGGAATGTGTCCCAACTGAGCTGAAGGTAATTCTTAGTAGTAGTAAATGTTATTGATTAGCCCTTAGGCCATAACACAATACCAAACCAAACAAAAAGGCTTGATAAAACTTGATTACACTCTATATAGTAAGTAAAACACTTATTACGATACATTAAATAAATATGATAAAACTGAATATATACATCATGTTTCCGTATCATCATACACTTCTTGGCCTTTTGGCTAAGATCAAGGGTAGTATCTGTTCTTATCAGTTTAATCCTTCTTAGTGTACCAGGTCACCGTGGTGTGCGTACATCATGGGTAATGTGATATATTGGACACATATATATAGGTTGCTTATCTGTAAACATAGTTTCCCAAGTGGTCGCCTGTGAATTCACACATTTGGTATATTCCTGCGCTCACGCAGGCAGCAACGGACACTCACAAGCTCACTTAACTGACCGTTAGAGTAGCCCCGCCCCTTTCTCTCTACTCATATAAATAGCCCTGCCACGGGACTACCGGCCAGTTCTTCCGCCTCAAAAGCAGTCAGAAGTCCTGGGGCATGACCATACAAAGTGGGGAGGATGGGCTGGGATGTGTGAATTTACAGGCGACCACTCGGGAAACTATGTTTACAGGTAAGCAACCTATATTTTCCCCGCGTGGTCAGCCTGTGAATCACACATTTGGTAGACTAGCGAGCTGCTAACCTTGGTGGAGGGAGTCATGAGAGGTTGCTTACCTGTAACCGTAGTTTCCCTAGTGATGTGCTGTGAATTCGCACTATTGGTACTTCTGCGCATGCGCAGCTTTGCTCCGGAATCTTCAGTTAAAATTTTAAAAGGACTGACGGTTGGCCCCGCGCACGCTCCCCAGTACATTATAAATAGGACGCGGCTGGTCCAACCGCCTCCAGATCTCTTCCGCCGCTAAAGCAGTCAGAAGGAGGAGGCATGACAAATTGCGGGGAGGATGGGCGGGGCCGTGCGAATTCACAGCACATCACTAGGGAAACTACGGTTACAGGTAAGCAACCTCTCATTTTCCCTACGTGAGTGTGCTGTGAATACGCACTATTGGTAGAAGACTAGCGAGCTACCCACCTTGGACGGCGGGAGTCATGCCACCGCAGAAAACAACACTGCACGACCAAAAGCAGCATCCTTCTTGGCCTGTAGATCCAACTTGTAGTGCGACACAAATGTCAACGGGGTGGACCAGGTGGCAGCGCGACATATGGCATCCAACGGCACACCCTTCCAAAAGGCAGCTGTTGTAGACACCGCCCTTGTAGAGTGTCCCTTCACACCGACCGGCAACTCACGTCCCGAGTTCTTGTAAGCTAACTTGATCACAGACACTATCCAAGAAGATAGGCGTTGAGTAGACACAGGGAGGCCACAGGCATCTTTTCTGTATTTTACAAAAAGTCTTGGTGTTTTCCTCACACTTTTAGTCCTATTAAGATAAAAGGCCACTGCCCGACGCACGTCCAGCAAGTGGAGACCACGCTCCATAGGGGAAGTTGGTGACTGAAAAAAGGCTGGCAACACTATCTCTTGGGACATGTGGAAGGAAGACGTCACCTTGGGAAGAAAAGAAATGTCCGTGCGGAGCACGATCTTATCTTTGTGGAACCGGAGGTAAGGTTCATCCGATCTTAAGGCGCAAATCTCACTAACACGCCTGGCCGATGTTATCGCCACCAGAAAGGCAGTCTTCCAGGAGAGGTGCGATATATCACACGTGGCTAACGGCTCGTAAGGAGGACCTTGAAGGGATGAAAGTACAACCTCCAGGCTCCACGAAGGAACTATTGGTGTCACTGCTGGCTTAACATTACCGAACCCTTTAAGGAAAAGCTTAACCAAATATTCAGAAAAAAGGGATGGCAATCCCTCTTTCCTCCTATACCATGACATGGCTGCCAGGTAACATTTAAGTGATGATAGGGACAGTCCTGAACTAGACAAGGAGACTAAAAAATCCAAAATTGCCGAAATTGGGGCATTTACGGGGTCCAGATTTCGTCCTTTCATATACTGGGAGTAGCGTGTCCACTTGTACACATACGAGCGCTTTGTAGATGGTTTTTGCGCTGCGTCTAAAATGGCCCTAACTGGGGCAGACAATTTGTCGGAAGTTCCTAACTGCTTGGAACGATCCTCCAGGCAGTCAGCCTCAATGTATGGGCATCTGGGTAGAGCACCTTCCCGTTCTGCGATGTTAACAAATCTAACCTGTCTGGAAACCTCCTGTACCTCCCTTGGGAGATATCGAGGAGGGCTGCAAACCATGGCTGGCGAGGCCACCACGGCGACACCAGGATACAGTCCCCGTTGTCTCTCCGAATCTTTGAGATGACCTTCGGGAGCAGTGGGAATGGAGGAAACACATACAGGAATTCGTTGCTCCACTTGCGTAGAAACGCATCCCCCAGACACCCCCTGGTGAAGTCCGCCCTCCTGCGGGCACAATAAAGGGGACACTTTGCGTTTTCCTGTGACGCAAAAAGATCTATTGTTGGAAAACCCCAGATCTTGAAGATCGTATTGAGTTCCCTGTGATTGATAGACCACTCGTGGTTGGCCATGKGGGCCCTGCTCAAATTGTCCGCTAAGACATTCTCTTCCCCTGGGAGATGTACGGCCACTAAGTGTATCTCTCTGGCTATGCACCACTTCCAGATGCGCATTGTTAGGCGYGACAGAACCTGTGATCTCGTTCCCCCCTGTTTGTTTATGTAATACATTGTTGTAGTATTGTCCGTGACCACCTGYACTACCTTGCCCAACAATGCCATCTCGAAGGATTTYAGAGCCTTTTCTACGGCRAATAACTCCAGAACATTTATGTGATGTACAGATTCCTCTGATGTCCAGACACCTTGGGCAGTCAAACCCTCGTAATGTGCGCCCCATCCCTTCATGGAGGAATCCGTCGTGACCACGGCAGACGGATCTGGGCCCTGAAAGGGCATGCCTACAGTCACATTGTCCGGCTCTGTCCACCACAAAAGGGCACGCCGGACCTTCTCCGGAATGCAATACCGCACATGGGGGTTGTCCAGGCCAGGACGAAAAACGGACAGAAACCAATTTTGTATGGGCCTCAGCCGAAGCCGGGCGTAAGGCGTAACGGCAGTCGTAGATGCCATGTGCCCTAACAGGACCTGGATCCTTTTTGCTGACACTTTCCTCGAATCCAGGGCAGRCACAACCAAAGCCTTGAGGGACGAAAAWCGGTCCTCTGGCAGAAACGCCCTCTGATGGATTGAATCCAGGAGTGCTCCAATAAACTGGATCTTGCGGACAGGTACTAGATGTGATTTTTCCCTGTTTACCACGAGACCTAAAGACTGGAGAAGAGAAATAGTTAGGTCTATATGCAGTTGTAAGCGTTCTCGCGTATCTGCCACCAAGAGCCAGTCGTCTATGTATGGATACACCGTAACACCCCTAGTTCTAAGGTGAGCAGCGATTACCGCCATACATTTGGTGAAAACCCTGGGGGCCGTAGTAAGGCCGAAAGGCAGTACATTAAAACTGTAAGCCTTAACGCCYACCATAAAGGCGAGGTATTTCCTATGATGTTCYGCCATGGAAATATGAAAATATGCGTCCTTTAAGTCTATGGTTGCGAACCAACTRTCTTTATTTAGAAGAGAAAGGATCATAGGAAGAGAGACCATCCGAAATTTCTTAGCATCAATATACATGTTCACCCCTCTTAAATCTAAAATTGGACGCAAACCACCAGTTTTTTTTAGTCACTAAAAAGTAACGAGAAAAGAAACAGTTATCAATCATTGAACTATCAACRGGGGAGATGGCCCCTTTAGCCAAAAGGGTTTCAATTTCTTCCAGCAGTGCTGGAGACTCAGGTGTGGTTCTTATACATCCCAACGGGGGCAGCGAAACAAATTCTATCGAATAACCTTCCTCAACTATCTTGAGGACCCACCTATCAGTAGTTATCGCAGCCCAGGCCCCTGCAAAAGGCCGAAGTCTATCCTTATAACAAACATAACTGACTTGTGTAGTGGAGGCACTTACGCCATCCCTTGGGCTCCAGATAACATCAACAATGGAATCGTCAAAGACGACGTCTTGGGCCACCTGCGGCCTTAGCCTTAGATTGATATGGCTGATACCTTGGCTTTGTGTAATAATTTTGTTTCCTGCCAGTTTGAAATTTTGAGGAATTATTCCKATTGCCCTGACTAGAGTTATATCCACTGTAATTCGCCCTACGGCTAAAGGGCTGGGCTTGTTGCCACCKAGGCTTCTGAAAGTTACCTGGCTGCCATGGGTACGGATATTGGTATGGATATTTGGCAGCATGCAAAACCTCCCGGGATTGCTTTATCTTTTCATCCGTTGTTGGGTCAAAAAGACCTTCCTCAGTCATGGGAAGGTCTTCCGCCAACAAGCGGCTCTCCTCTGACAATGAAGAACTACGCAGCCACGCATGTCGCCGTATGGCCGTGGCAGTGGCAAAGAGCTTGCCCGATATCTCAGCCATATGCTTGGCGAAGTCCTTCTGCAGTCTAGATAGTATCAATGCCTCGGTCTGATACGCCTTCGGAAGACGACGGTCTTCAGGTGGCAGGAGGTTAATATGGGGCAGCATATTGTTCCAGAGAAAACTCTGGTATCCACTAAAATAAGTAGCGTAATGCGCCATCCTGGCAAGCAAACCCGCAGCCACATGTATTTTCTTCCCAAGTGAGTCAACCTTCTTGCCCTCCCTATCTGGTGGCGTTATGGAATATTTCTTAGGTCTCTTAGCCCTAGCTGCCTCCGCCACCACCGTATTCGGCTGTGCAGGATGGGCAATCCAACTTGCTAAAGTCAAGTCTACTTTGTAGAGAAGGTCGACCCTCCTTGGCACTGCGGGAGCAGCCGACGGGGCCACATCGGGGACCTTAGTCAGTTTCAACAAATAAGGAAGGGTTGGAAGCAGCAAGGATGGTGAACCGTCCTGTTCTTCAGAAGGGTACATAGGGTCATCCACTAATGAAACCGGCTTTGGGGCTGGAATGTCCAACGCAGTTATCATTCTGCTAACCAACTGAGCAAACATGTTGTAGTCCTCTATGCGCTTTGCGTTGGTATTTTTATCCTTGTCTACAATGGGTGAGTCCACTACTTCAATCGAAGAATCAGAGTCATCATCATCACCAGGAGGGCGGTCCTCAGCAATTGATGGGAGAGGTGTATAACCTTGATCCCAATAAGCACCGTGATAGTCATGGTGCACTGGGAGGAGTTCTCTACCTCGCACACTCTTCCCACTGTGTTTCCTGGGTCCATAGTCTGCATTACGATAAGCAGAACAGGCAGAGGGAGGACCGCGATAAACAAAACGCCCCTGGGGAGTTATCTCATATACTC